ACGGTTTAAACTGAGGCTTATTCCTTTGTCCTCTCGTACTTAAGATGTGACTGGAATTTCACTCGGGTTAAAAACAAAAAACAAACTGCTGGAAAAGGTCGATTTTTGACTCCACACTGAAGCCCGAATCATCCGAACGTTAAATGTGACGGAGAGAAAGCGTGATGAAAGGGGAAGTCAGACAGAAACAGGTGGAGAGAACAGAAGAGAGAGGATGATTGAAACGTAGCATCTATTACTGAAGCCATCAGGGGGAAAGATGACAACAAGAGGAGATTGGTAAACAACAAGGAGGAGAGGGAGAGTCAACAAGGAGGAGAGGGAGATATGGACCAGGGTAGTGAAACTCTAATGGTGGTTCACACCGCACTATAAAAGAGAAGATTTGCTGCTCCAAAAACAAGTAAATGTAGAATAAAAACAAGGTGTTTTCGCTTTTAATAAGTGAACGAATCTGCCAATAGAACAAGTACAAAATGTCTTGGTAACATTTCTTGAAGTAAAGATGGGATACTGAGATAAATGAGATCTTGTATTTAGCTGGGGAAACTCATTTTGAACTATATTTGACCAGAATTAGGGAATTTGTTAAAAAAAAGAAAAGACAGAAATGCTTACACGTTTTCTGTTTTCTGATGGTGATTTTCCTGTAAGATGTTTTTAAGAGACTTTGACTAAAAAAGATGCTTAAGATGCCTTGTCTAAACAAAATACTTACAGTAAGTTATTAGGTCTTATATCAGGTGTAAGTAACGACATATTCTGACTAGAAATTATACAAATATACTTGGCAAGATTTTACATTTTTGCAGTGCGTCGTGATACTCGGGCACATTTGACCGCTGCATCATTTGTGTTTACTAACGTTACTCAAACTAGACACGCTAGCGAAGAGGCGGGGCTTAACTCCATGTAGATACCAACAACAACAACACAATTAACATTCTTTGCTGTGATTTAACTGTAATACACGTAACAAAAATGATGCCAAAATAACTTAATAATGATACTGATTGGTAAAAAACAATGAATTAATGCTTTGGCAAGTGTGTCAGCAAGATGGCAGGCGAAACACTTTTAAAATGTTTTCTGAATGGAGATGGGATGGATCAGGCTATGCTAAGCTAACATGTAGCTGCTCAGTTCACACTCACAACAACGTCATACAGACATGAATAAAGTAGTGACTATATTTGAAATAGACAGTCAGTGGTTTGTACATTTTAAACAAAGTTGTTGTCCAGTTTCTGAGAAAATATGACGAGCTTTTAACACTGGGTGCCGTATGTTGTGAAAATACAATTGGGGGGATTTGAAGTCCAACAGACTTAAGATGATCTGTGGAGATGCATCAATCTGTTACACTTTAAGAGGAAAACAGGCTAATTTCACGAAAACCTCTCTCAAATTCAAATTACCATCTCAAGTTGACCCAAGCAATTGAAACGTACAGACAATTATATTAAAAAGGTAAACAATGAAGCTTCTCGTCAATAAATGGCAGCATTTTCTCAACAATGTTTGACATTATATAACAATATATTATTATATAATGCTTCACCGAACACAGGAGGGGGGCTTGGCTGTCTACAAATAAAGACGGCTAATTTGAATCCCAAATATATTGAGGCTGAACTTGAGCTAACGGCTGCTGTTTTAATTTTCTGATTCAACTCCGTCACGGACAACAGGCGGAGATGCTCACTGCCGATTGGCTTTCAGGAGACAGCGAATTTAACGCTTGAGTTGAAAAACAGGTCAATCTTGCGAATGACGTGCTATCTGCGTCTTTGCATTACTGTAACTTTACAGGTAATCGCGTGTAATTACACAGAAGATTATGAATCCTTAACGAAACAACAGACAACTCAATCATGTTGGAGAGTCGTGATTAAAAAGTGTGTCTCACAAAGAAAGAGGGAGGGCAGCAGGAGATGACATGAATAAGATCAGGAACGGCATCAGCAAAACAGATAATACAATAGATATGGAATAAAAGTCAACACTGTTTGGAGCTGAGCGAAATCACAGAGAACAGATCGTATCTGATGTTGTGGCTGATAAGAGTCAGAAAGTATGTAAAGTGAAGTGGTGGATGATCACAATTTTAAATATGTCTGACTTAAGAGGCCTTATTCTGCTTGTTTCCCTTTCCTGTGGTTCAATAGGTTTGCATAGAAAAGGTCTCCAAAGGCTAAACTCCCTATGTAAGTCATTCACTTCTATTGGCTACGTGACTCTTTAAAGTAGAGACACTGCATACTGATATACACCTGAACATCAGCAGGAGAGGACTCTTTAAAGTAGAGACACTGCATACTGATATACACCTGAACATCAGCAGGAGAGGACTCTTTAAAGTAGAGACACTACATACTGATATACACCTGAACATCAGCAGGAGAGGACTCTTTAAAGTAGAGACACTACATACTGATATACACCTGAACATCAGCAGGAGAGGACTCTTTAAAGTAGAGACACTACATACTGATATACACCTGAACATCAGCAGGAGAGGACTCTTTAAAGTAGAGACACTACATACTGATATACACCTGAACATCAGCAGGAGAGGACTCTTTAAAGTAGAGACACTACATACTGATATACACCTGAACATCAGCAGGAGAGGACTCTTTAAAGTAGAGACACTACATACTGATATACACCTGAACATCAGCAGGAGAGGACTCTTTAAAGTAGAGACACTACATACTGATATACACCTGAACATCAGCAGGAGAGGACTCTTTAAAGTAGAAACACTACATACTGATATACACCTGAAAATCAGCAGGAGAGGACTCTTTAAAGTAGAGACACGACATACTGATATACACCTGAACATCAGCAGGAGAGGACTCTTTAAAGTAGAGGCACTACATACTGATATACACCTGAACATCAGCAGGAGAGGACTCTTTAAAGTAGAGACACTGCATACTGATATACACCTGAACATCAGCAGGAGAGGACTCTTTAAAGTAGAGACACTACATACTGATATACACCTGAACATCAGCAGGAGAGGACTCTTTAAAGTAGAGACACTACATACTGATATACACCCTGAACATCAGCAGGAGAGGACTCTTTAAAGTAGAGACACTACATACTGATATACACCTGAACATCAGCAGGGGAGGACTCTTTAAAGTAGAGACACTACATACTGATATACACCTGAACATCAGCAGGAGAGGACTCTTTAAAGTAGAGACACTACATACTGATATACACCTGAACATCAGCAGGAGAGGACTCTTTAAAGTAGAGACACTACATACTGATATACACCTGAACATCAGCAGGAGAGGACTCTTTAAAGTAGAGACACTACATACTGATATACACCTGAATATCAGCAGGAGAGGACTCTTTAAAGTAGAAACACTACATACTGATATACACCTGAAAATCAGCAGGAGAGGACTCTTTAAAGTAGAGACACGACATACTGATATACACCTGAACATCAGCAGGAGAGGACTCTTTAAAGTAGAGACACTACATACTGATATACACCTGAACATCAGCAGGAGAGGACTCTTTAAAGTAGATACACTACATACTGATATACACCTGAACATCAGCAGGAGAGGACTCTTTAAAGTAGAGACGCTACATACTGATATACACCTGAACATCAGCAGGAGAGGACTCTTTAAAGTAGATACACTACATACTGATATACACCTGAACATCAGCAGGAGAGGACTCTTTAAAGTAGAGACACTACATACTGATATACACCTGAGCATCAACAGAAAAGGACTCTTTAAACTGATTTTTACGGTCAAAAACTGGTAATAATGGGACGATGGAGGTCATAAAATGGCCATGAACTGGTGAGTACAGGCAGGCTTTATAAAGAACACCGAACACAGACATCCGTTCAACAACTGATGTCTTGGTTTTTCAAGAATGAAAATTAACATATTTTAATATGGAATTAATTTCACCGGACATAATGACCAGGGATTTTAAAATATGTCGGATTTTAAACAGATTCTCACGGTCAAAAACTGGTAATTAACGGATAACGGAGTTCATAAAATGACCAACACTGTATGTCATGAACTGGTGACTCGTGAAATTACCAAAATGTGTGAATAGGTCACGCTGCTGTTCAGACAGACCTGTATCCAGTCAGACTCAAACGACAAGTAATCCAACCGCTGTCACACAGCCGGGCAGCCAAGCATGAGTGTGTGTGTGTGTGTCTGTATGTGTAGAGCACAGCCACTATTGGCGAGCTGTCAGCCGCTCACACCACACACACACACACACACACACACACACACACACACACACACACACACACACACACACACACACCACACACACACACCACACACACACACACACACACACACACACACACACACACACACACACACACACACACATACACACACACACACCCTGACTTGCAGCAGCCCCCTGGAGTCTGTCAGGGAAAAAACGGGGGAATAAAGTATGTATGTGTGTGTGTGTGTGTGTGTGTGTTGTGTTCGTCAATGTGTATGGGTCTGCAGGTGGCAGAAAGGTGTGTGTGCCGATCAATAATAATCAGCTGCAGTAGAACTGGAAGTTCACACAACAGAGACTCAACTCAAACACACACACACACACACACACAAATACATGCACAGCAGCGCTCAAAAACCAATCTATACACCTTGTGACACGGCATTGTAGTCCAAACTATAGTCTCTCACACACACACACACACACACACTCACACACCACACACACACACACACACACACACACACACACACACACCACATACACAAACACACTCAAAACAACCTCAAACAAAAGCGCTTACTCATGTTTAAAAAGTACGCACTCAAAAATGGCTGCGTCTAATTTTATCGATTTTCCACACACACCTCCACACCTTCATCTTCCTCCCCCCTCCTCCTCACCCTGGAGCGCCCCCCCCCCCTCCCCCCCACACACACACACGCACCTCCCCTCTCTCTCTTTACCTCTGTGAAGTGCTCTTAATGATGTCGGAGACTTTCTGGATGTAATCGGTGGCGAGCACCACGATCTCTTCGTCTTCTGATAAGTTGTCGTGGAAGATTCTGTCCAGCAAACGTTTCCAGTGAAGCTGAGGAGAGAGGAGGAAGCATTTAGTTTAGATAGAGGTCAACATTTCAATTAAAAACAACAACCCGACTGCACATACTTACACGTTTAATCCCAAATGTACAACAACGTGAGGCAAATCCATCACTTTTTAAAGCCCCATTTAACCTATATGTGATAAATGCGTCACTGTCTCTCATCGTTACCTATATGTAATTTCTAAGGCCAAAGCGCACTTTATCTAGAGCTCAGTATCCATACATTTGGTTTAAAATAAATTGTCATTGTGTATTTCATCATTTCTAATTCATGATTATGTTTTAATGTATTCCTTTATTTTGACTGGATAGTTGTGGACTGATGGGTTCATTATCTGCTCTAGTGTGCATCTTGTTCTTATTTCTTTCCTTCATGTATTTGTTTGTTTGAAGTGGACCTATCATGCTATATTTGAATAATATAGTGTAGGACCATACCTATATAAGGCATATTTATACTTTTTTTTTTTCAAAATACCAAACAGATCATGCATTTTAGCCATGCCTCATTTTGCTCAATTTGACATTTTTTATCTCTGTTTTAGCAAGGGCTGATTCAGTGAGAACAGCACCATCTAGAGGCCTGGCATATGTACTACAGCGTCTCCAGCGCTTTCGAACGGCAATGGCCGTGGCTGTCTCCTCCTGATTGGTGGAGTTGGCCCAATAGCCGTAGCGCCACCGTCCTGACGTCAGGACAGTGTTCAAATCTGGATCAGTTTTTATCAGATCCGTTGCAGCCCCTTTTTTAGAGATTTGGGTATGGAGGAAAATAGAGAGGGTTGTGTTTTCTGACACTTGGTGAGTTCCCTGGAACACCGGGGACACATATTCATGTATACAAGACGTACAAAAGTGCATTTGCATGATAGGTCCCCTTTAAGTTTAAGGGGAAATTAATTAATTAATTCTTAGCTGTCTTTGGTTTAACATTTTATAAATCACATGTAATCTCATTTTCAGGCACCCGACCACTCCCTTCCTCCCTAACACACACACACACACACACACACACACACACACACACACACACAACCACACACACACACACACACACACACCACACACACACACACCACACACACACACACACACACACACACACACACACACACACACACACACTCGCCACACCACTTAAAATGCTCTGTTGGACTTCAAATCTTAATCCATCACGTCTGCTCCTAAACAAAGTGCATTTCACATACTTGTAAATGACGGGTATGTATACAGTTCATGAGTGTGTGTGTGTGTTTGTGTGTGTGTGTGTGTGTGTGTGTGTGTGTGTGTGTGTGTGTGTGTGTGTGTGTGTGTGTGTGTGTGTGTGTGTGTGTGTGTAGCACTCACACTGGGCGCGATGTTCTGTAGCTGCCGGAGGGTGATGCGGTTATACATGGTGCTGATGTCCTTTCTTTGGTCATCATATTCTGACACAGTGATCTGAAAAAGTAGTGTAGTGTTTTAATTCAAACACACACACACACACACACACACACACACACACACACACACACACACACACACACACACACACACACACACACACACACACACACACACACACACACACACACACACACACACACACACACACACACTCAGCTCACATTTGCCAGACGTGTCTCCAGATGTATAATCTCCTTGGACTTCTGCGTGGCGTTGTGAGCTCCCAGCATGCTTAGCAAACGCTCCATCAGAGCCTTGTACGCTGCCAGGATCTGAAGAAAAAAGCACAACGACATCAGCGCTAATAGAGGAGCCGGAGCTCATCACTAATGGACGCTGACACGGTGACATGTGGCAGAGTGGACGGGATAACAAAAGCACAGCGGGCGACAGAGGGAAAAACAGGTGGATTGATGGGAGAGGAGAGGGAGACGGGTATTGATAGAGGAGGAGGGAGGGAGGGAGGGGAGGAAGGGAATGATTAAAGGAAGAAAGGAGGGGAGGAATGATTAAAGGAAGAAAGGAGGGGAGGCAGGAGAAAGGGAATCAAAGTGAAGTCAAGTTTGAGGTAAAAGAAGGGAGAGAAAGTCGGGAGAAAAAGGAAAGAAACTGCAAATTCTGGGTCTGAAAGGTGAAGCTAATGTGGAAAATACCGTAAACCTGCATTCTGTGGTTACCAAAAGTCTAATTGCATAGAAGTCTATGAGAAAATAGGCCCACTTCTAACTGTATTTATTAACAGAAACATTTGGGTCTGATAGTGAAGCCAATGACAAAGATACCTTAAACCTGCATCATCTCTTATATCCAGCAGGGGGCAACACGTATAATTGTATAGAAGACTATGAGAACATTACCCTACTTCTCACTTGATTTATTAACTCAGTAAACATTTTCCTGATGAGTTTATTGACTTGATCTCTAGTTTAGAGTCTCCTTCATTACATTGTGGTTCATTTAGTAGTCGTATTTAGAGTAAAATAGATATAAATAAAGAAGGGTATGCTTTAGATTTGGGGGTACCTGTGGTTGACAGGTCGTTTTCCCACAGCATTGTTTAATTGGGGGTTTGTCTCACAACTTAAGAAGAGAAGCAGACAACTCAAAATGAGGGTAAATGGACTCTAGTTTAGGGGCTTCTTCAATACAGCATGATGTTTATTTGGTAAATGATGGCCGCATTTAAAGTACAATTGATAATGAAGCAGAGTACATTTAAGGACGCAGCGAATTTGTGATTAACACAGGAATTAAGAAAGGAAATAAATAAGAGAAGTTGAACCAAAAGAAAAGGACTAAAAAGTGAATCCAAGCGTGCCTAAAGCATGCATGTGTCTTCCACATTGTACTTGTTCGACCCTTGGACTTGTTGATAAAAAACACAATACCTTAGGCCTTGAGATTGTGTCTCAGTCCAGAGCTCGGAATAAAAACCTAAATTGAGCTTCCTTACGCTTTTTAGCCTAACCCGAAAATCTAGTGTCTGTTGGTTTTGACCTTCTCAAGTATACAGAATATCCACTTGAAGGTGTCAGAGCTCTAACTGAACACAGTATTTAAATGGCAATGGAAATGTGCGGCAACTCTCATCTCTTAAACTTTTCACACGGAAGAAAGAACAAGTCTTTCTAACCGGCATTTATCTAAATCTCCAATAGTGTCTGGTTGCGTCTTTCTCGTTGAAATGTATCTCACATTCGTCCATCTTTATCTTATCTCTCATTGTGCTTCTCCTCTGGTGGCAAAAACAGGTCAGATTGTATATAAGTCTTTGAGAAAATGACCTTACTGCTCACTTGATTTAATACAGTAAACATTTTCCCAATCAGTCTTTGTTTTTGATCTCTGGATTCAAGTCAAGTAAAATAGACGGGGTGTACTTTAGGGCGGGGCTAAAATGTGATTGACAGGTAATTACCACACTCCTTTGTCTAATTTGGGTCTGTTTTACAACTTTGAACCCTTTCACAGAGTGTTTTTTCAGTTCATATAATCAGATGTTGTTCTCCTTAGTTTAGTTTGTTGGTTTAGTTGTCAGGGACCAAATGTACAAAAATAACACAAATCTCAAAGATATAAAATGCTTTGAACCAGATTATATCAGTTTGCTCATTTCCATCTGCAGTCCCTTGGCAGGTCGACACAAAATACAGCACATTCAATTTTATAATAGCATCTTGTTCAACGTTTGGTTGTACTTCGCTCCACCCTGTAGTCTCTTCTGGTTACAAAAACTAAGATGGAGATCCACAAAAACTAAGATATCAACGACCAAAACACTCATTTCCAGGCTTCAAAATTGTCTTCAATGGTTGAGGTTAATGTGACTTTGACCAATTATTGTATACAGTGAATAGCAAGAATGTAGATAAAAGAAAGGGGCGAGAAAGAAATGATAAATGTTTGGATAAGAAACTGGAAATACAAAGAAGATAGGAACGGAGAAAACAGAGAAGTGAAAAGAAAGTCTGGATACATTTATATAGTTGTTGACGCTACTAGAAAGTTCTTGAACGTTGTAGAAGTAACTGGAGAGGAAGTGAAGGGGCAAGTTTAGCTTATTTATTTGTATCTATTTTCTTTTTCCTATTGGGAGACTGATGGAAGTAAGGTAAGGTTAGGTGAAGAAGCAGAATGTATTTTCAATGCAGTGTTTTGTGTGTGTCTGTTACGTATTGACAAAACAATTGAAAATAAAGTTTTCAACAAAAATAAATAAGTAAAGAAGCATGTTTACCTTCACACTGTCCTCATCCTGTCCCAGATACAGACTGCTGTCAGGCAGCGTGAGTCCTTCCTGATCAATCTGCACACACACACACACACACACACACACACACACACACACACACACACACACACACACACACACACACACACACACACACACACACACACACACACACACCACACACACACCACACACACACACACACACACACACACACACACACACACACACACACACACACACACACACACACACACACACACACAGACAGACCACATTAATCCCAGCATGTAGTCACATATGTTCTGCTCAGACCTGAACAGATGCACATTCAAAGGCTTTATTAATATTTAATTAAATCTGTATTAGTGCCAACCTTTATAAGCCATTCAACACACTGTTTGCTAAACATATGAATTATTTATAATATTCAATAAATTATGCCCACATGGAGAGTCAATGTTATATTACACAACGTAAATATCATTGCAGAGATTTAATATTTCTGATATAAGGAGGATTAAGTATTTCTTCCACTTCTTATGGCAAACAAAGCTCTTTAAATCCCATTTGATTATCTGGAAATTGTGTCATTACAAAGCTGAAAACAGGACTGTTTGTCCTAGCTGATAAAAAATAGCCATCTTTGAGATCTACGGTTTTCTAAAGCCGGTGCCAATACTAGATGTTCCCCCTGATAACACTTAGTTGATATGATTTGTTTATTGGTGCTTTTTTTTGTCAAACTGAAACCACTCACCATTCTATAAAAGCTGGAACACAACTTTTACTGCAGAATAAAACATCCTAAATTCAATGTTTTCAGCAGAATTAGAGTAATGGGAAAACAGGGTATGCAAAACCAGAGTTTATTTATTTGACATGTACTCCCTTAACACAAAAGTTAACTTACCTGTAAAGTATCTTCACTTCTGAAGATATTTATGTGCATAGCTAATATTATAACTACTACTGGCTGCTATTTCTTAGTTAGTCCATCCATTACTGTAAGAAGAATATGTAGGTAACTATGTGCAATACTTTACTACTGTTATCTACCTGCTACTACACTTCATTCTACAATGTTACACTTACTTATTTTATTTTATAAATACTGCTGCTAACTAATAGTGTTCTATCTTTTTTCGTCTCTATCTATACTTAGATTTCCCCTCTGTGTAATAAAGGATTGTATTTCCTGTGCAAATGGAAACTCATTTAAAAAAGATTGCATGCATTCAACGAGCATAAATTGACATGTGTTAAATGAGGAATCACTTTTTTAAAGACATCATAGGAAGCATTGTAGAGGGATACTTTGCAAACACACACACACACACACACACACACACACACACACACACACACACCACACACACACACACACACACACACACACACACACACACACACACACACACACACACACTTCAACACACTCATGGTTTCCCATCACCCTTTCTCTCACCCTGATTGCGTTCCTGGAGGAGTTCTTGTCGTCCACGTTGACGGTGAGCGAGAAGAAGACGGCGGTGCTGTAGACGCCCTGCGTTCGGTACAGAAGCTCGTTGAAGTCCGGCCTCTGGGGGGCGCCCTCTCTCTCCCACCCCGGTGTTTTGGGAGGAGCTCCACTCATGTCCCACCCTCCACAGCTGTCAATCACCTCCGTCAAGGGGTCCGATCCCAACTTATCGATCTCTTGCACGTTGACGCACGATCGGTAGAAGTCCTTGACTTTTCTCTCGGCCGAATCGACGCCTTGTCTTTTTATCGGCTCCAAAAGTAGGCGTTCCATTTTCTCCTCGTTGTGTTCCCCGATGGCCGTGATTATTCCGTAGCTGAGTTTATCCTCGGGGATGCCGTGGCGCCTCAACCATCCGCCACATGCGAACGAGTAGAAATCCTGGCACGGTTGAATGGTCGGGTCAATATTGGACTGGACGAATCGTGCCGCCCTCAAAAGGGAGCGTTTCCGTTGGCAGTCTTGTCGACACTGAGGGTCTTGTTGGGCGTCCAGGGAAATGTACTTCAGTGCCAACATGCTGCCCAAGATAACACACATACCGGCGGCAAAAACCAGCGCCGAAAGGAGGCATATCTCCCTACGACTCCATCGAGGAAGTCCTCCGCTGCTGCTGGTGCTTCCCAGATCTTTGTTTCGCCCGTTGGACAAAGTCCCGCCTCGACCACGAGTCGTATGTCGATCCAAGCTTCCCCCGAGACTAAGAGTCATACCATTACTGAGGATATCACTGCTGTAGCGACCGCCATATTTAACTTCCTGGAACTCATCGTAGTGGGCGGTTAACGAGTATGTCTTCTCCATTTTCGATACACTGTCGTTGGGTAAGAGAAAGGGGATGAAAGAGGTATGTTTCTTTGTTTTTAGTGTACATTCATGACTAGTCCCAATACTCAGAAGCCAGGACTCCCACCATGGGGCAAAACACTCTCAAAATCCTGTTGATCCTCTTTAGGCAAAGTCCCGTTTATTTGTTTTTAAATCAAAATCCGGCCGAGCGAGGGACTCCCATTGTGCGTGAGGAATCTCTTGGGTCCAGCTCTCTCTCACTCATCCTCTTTCTCTTTGCTCCCTTTCCATTTGTTCTCCTCCCTCTCTCCAAACCAGTTACAGCTGACCTGTCGGTAAAAATAGAAATGAGATAGGGCAAGGCTGTTAGTCGACAGAGAAATAGGAAATTGAAACCATCGTTACAACAGCAGATGATGAACAAAAAAACATCTTTCTCCCTGCTCTGTTTTCACCCTGTTCCTTGTTGCCTGGATTGATTGGAGTTATTTTGGTATTAAAAGTTTATGAGATGTAATCATGCAGTCTTGTACTCTTTAAGAAACATATGTGGGAAGCTTTAAGATTAAATGCATGCATAACACAGCAGATGGTGATCCTTGAGTAGTCGTTTCGCATAATACTTATAAAAGACCTTGTATATCTATCTATCTATCTATCTATCTATAAATCTATCTATCTAACTATCTATCCATCCATCCATCCATCCATCCATCCAACTATCTATCCATCCATCCATCCATCCATCTATCTATCTATCTATCTATCCATCCATCCATCCATCCATCCATCCAACCATCCATCTATCTATCTATCTATCTATCTATCTATCTATCTATCTATCTATCTATCTATCTATCCATCCATCCATCCATCCATCCATCCATCCATCTATCTATCTATCTATCTATCTATCTATCTATCTATCTATCTATCTAACTATCTATCTATCTATCTATCCATCCATCCATCCATCCATCCATCCATCCATCCATCCATCCATCCATCCATCCATCCATCTATCTATCTATCTATCTATCTATCTATCTATCTATCTATCATTGCCTTGTTTTTTATGCTGCTGCAACGCAAACATTTCCCAATTCGGCATCAATAAAGTACATCTTATCTTATTTTATCAGCTGGGCATGAAGAGGTGTGGCAAAAAGCATGACAATTAATCAAATCAAATAAATTGCCTTATATGGACTAGTGCAACACCCAAATCTCTGAAAGTGCAATTTGTTTTAAAAGGTAAAATATGTAAAATATCTGAATGAAGTATTATGGAGCTCCTGGCCTTTAATGGTATTCTAGACTTAATCTAAATGTATGTAAAAAATAAATGTTATTATGAAATGTGAGGGCATTAGCTGATCTTCTATGGACGTTTTAAAGCAATATCAAGTTATCACGTTACAATAAGCTGCCAAAAAACAATCATATGAATCTCAAATTGTTTTAATTTATACTCAGAATGAATACACATGAACTCTAAGACCTACAATACACTGGATTCAAAGCAATTCGATCATTTGATGTGGAAAAAACAAGCAGACAAACACAGACAGATGTATTTTAGCTTTTTCCTTCACTTTAAATATAGCCTGTAGGCAAAGTGAGAAGCCTTAACACAGAGAGACTGACTGAAAACTGATTGTTTTATGGATGCTTTCCCAATGCAACTTCACACCCTTGTATGTGTGTTTCTTTTTAATGGCTTGATGCAGTGTACTTGCTGAAAAGCTGTGCAGGCGATCTGCAGACATTGATCCCCGTTATCTCCGCTGAGAATAGCAAACTTCAGCACTGATGTCTTTAACAAGCTTTCTCTGCTCTTATGGGATGTAGATAAGACGGAGAAAAAGAAATAAAGGATAGAAAGCAAGCACGTAAACACAGATGAGTACTGGATTGAATCCTGTGAGATGTAGTCATAGGAATAATGAGGTAATTGAAAATCGGTGGTGAATTGTTACTAGACTAAAAGGGAAAAGAGATATATTTAAATGAATAATACAGGGAAAGGAGTGCAAGGGTGAAGAGATAACATTATTTTCTACCGCTGCAGAGATCTGAGGTTCAAGTCCTGGTGGCATTAACCAAATTGACTGTAAGACAACTTAAGTTTCTCCTTGAAAAGCCAGAGTGAAGATGTTCATATTGGATAATGTCAAATGTCTGAATTACGTTCAGTGTCAAGACAGGAGGGAGATTCTCACAAAACAAGAGAGGAAAGCCTGAATCAAACTTTCCATGTAGCCGGTAGGGACAATTTTGACACATTTCACATTTCCTTATCTGGTTTGCAAGGGTACTCACTTCAAAATAGACAATGAAAAGTATTGGACAATCCACAAATCACATGCACAATTAATGGAGTCTGTACGGACTGAAGCTTATGTGCATATGACATTAAAACCTATGAAAAAAACAAAACGTCACAAATCCAATAGCCGCTTTCACACCAAGTACTTTGCCGTACTTAGTGCCAGCACTTAGTACCCCCATGGAACTAAGTACAGATCGCATTCACACCGGAATAAGTTCCCTGAGGGAAGATTACGCAAATTAAGCCGCTGACGTCACTTCTTCTTCTTCTGCTTTGGGTTTACTGGCAGGCCGCAAACCACTTCACGGCGTATACTGCCACCCGAAGTCCCCGGCCGTAAGTCCCCGGAGTTGGGGACTGGCTTCAGTAGAAGCTGCTGGGACTCCCAGCAGCTTCTACTGAAGCCTTCCGAGTAAATCGCCAGAACGCCGACACCTCCTCATCACTCCACCACTCCCATGTTTTTTTTTGTGTTGCCATAAGTTATTCTCTCTCCGTTGGTGCAAGGGGCTAATGCTAATAATGCTAATGCCAGCAAATACAATGGCGACTTCACAAAACTTTTACGGGGCGTGGTTTGCAATTCGCCCAGCCAATCGAAATTGGTACTTTTTTCTCCCCAGGATAGTCCCACCTCTCTAGCAGGCACTAAACATGGGGGTAAAAGTTCTCTGAACTAAGTTCTCTTTTTGGTGTGAACGCAAAATTCCAGGCACTAACGCAACTAAACGGGAAAAGTACGGGTAAAAGTACTCCGGTGTGAACGTGCCTATCCAATGGCCCGGTTTGATGTCGTATCTGATCTAAAATACCCATAAAATACATATTGTGCTCTTAAAGGACTATATCATTTACTCCAAATCATATCAAAGCTAGCTACATTGCAGTGTTTTCAAAGAGTGAAGTATTTTCCCAACACTCTGGACATCCATTGGTTTTTCCCAGCAGGGGATTGGGAAACAGAGTACACAGACATGCAATGAAGCCTACCTGTCACAGACTGACAGCATGTTGTTAGTGCTACTGAAGAGTAAGGACCACACAAGAAGCTAACAGCGCTTGAGTGACATCTGCAGGAACGTTTACATGCTGTTTAATGTGCTGCAACTGAGCAGCTAATTAGCTATCTGGCCTGCAAACAGATGTAAGTAGTGCACCTTTTCCCCAGTGTGTGTGTTGGCTAATTCATTCAACAAGAAGGACAAGACGTTGGTTCATGTTGTAACGTAGATAAGAAGGAAGCTTATGTTGGAGCAGGATTCTGTGTAATTGTTAGTCAGTGTGAGTGCCTGCTTAATGTGTGATTGAATTACGCTAATAGGATTTTAAATGATTTGATTTGCTGTATGAAAACAAGTTGTCATTTGGACTAACAGTATAGACATAAACGAATGAAAAGCTAAGAGTACACGAATGAAACTGAAATATGAAATTGAATTTTTTTCTTTTGGTTTCTGATTTCAATTTCAAAAGACAACTCTTTCAATATTTTTAAGGAGACTAATTTATGTAATACTTGACGCATATTAGTGGAGACATGTGGTTGTATTAAAAAACCTTAATGATATGTAATATGCGAACAACAACGTTCAGCAAACATCTAAAGGATACATACATTATATAGAGTGTTTACATCAGAAACTGCTAAGCTAAAGGCAGCTAATGTCGAGCTATAAAGGAACTACAGCACGGTCACATGACTTCACGTCACCACCGCTAAGCTAAAGGCGGCTAATGTTGGGCTATAAAGGAACTACAGCACGGTCACATGACCTCACGTCACCACCGCTAAGCTAAAGGCGGCTAATGTTGGGCTATAAAGGAACTACAGCACGGTCACATGACCTCACGTCACCACCGCTAAGCTAAAGGAGGCTAATGTTGGGCTATAAAGGAACTACAGCACGGTCACATGACTTCACGTCACCACCGCTAAGCTAAAGGAGGCTAATGTTGGGCTATAAAGGAACTACAGCACGGTCACATGACTTCCCGTCACCACCGCTAAGCTAAAGGCGGCTAATGTTGGGCTATAAAGGAACTACAGCACGGTCACATGACTTCACGTCACCACCGCTAAGCTAAAGGAGGCTAATGTTGGGCTATAAAGGAACTACAGCACGGTCACATGACTTCACGTCACCACCGCTAAGCTAAAGGAGGCTAATGTTGGGCGTGATGACGTTTAGTCGCCTCATTTAGACACTTGTTAGCAACCGCTGTTTTTAAATTCTCCAGTGGGGTATTTACTGACATATTTATATCCTTTTCTTCAGTCATCTAGCAGGTGAAAAGGATCAGCTGGTGATGGAGCACGTCTGCTTTCACTCTCCCTATCAAAATGACAAGTTCAGTGCAGAGGGGACCGAGTTCTCAGAGGGGAAAGTCAAAAATGGGAGTGTTGTGTGTCCGTGTGATGTCATTATCAATTCAAAATATCATCCATCAATCCTCTGCTTTGTCTGACACACACACACACACACACACACACACACACACACACACACACACACACACACACACACACAATTAGAAACAAGCTGTATCTGTGGCAGCAACTGGTCAATATAATGTACACATTATTGAATTGCTGTTCAAAATGAATGTATTCCTTTTCTGCAACTTCTCCCCCACTCTCTCTTTCACGTTCACATATGTCACAAGACACGCACGCACGCACGCA